AGAGTCAGAAATTGTACCCTCTGTTCCACATGTATTATACACAAGTAAATTATACTATGCACACTTACTCACAGGGGTCATATCATAAAAATTGGGTTTCCCTTAAATTATCTTTTTAAAAGAGTTTAATAGTTAATGTACTATGAAAACATACTGTACCCAAGTAAGAATTCCCAGGGAACACACTGAGATAATACTACTAATAAAGATTTTGTAAATGTTTTAAAAGAAGTCTCTATATGCTTACCAACGCTGAATTTATTTGATCAAATATTTTTTTTTTATTGTATTTTTAATCAAACAAATTCAGCCTTGGTGAGCATAAACGACTTCTTTCAAAAACATTTAAAAAAATGTAATTATTCTAAACTTTTGACTGCTAGTGTATATATGAAAAGGTCAAACTGCAATTTCAAGAAGACTGGGTCTTGAATTGTCATTCAGTGAATTAATTGTCTCATTCATTAAACACACCATGAGTTTGTGACAGAAATCCTCAGACAGAGTTAAGATAATGAGTAAAGTGGGTTTGCAATTACATCTCAGTGGGAATAGAGGATAATATCCTATTGGGGCTTTCAAAGAGAGGCCACTATCACCAGATGGACGTCAATGGTCATTCCAAATTGAGGCAGCTCGACCTCTGCTTTGTGCTGCGCTGTGTGTTTTGGTCATGATATTTTTAGGAAATGTTGATGTTTTTCTAGCTTTTGCATATATCAACATTTTACCAGTTGATTATAAAAACCAAATTCTTGCATTACATTCCAATCTGTTTCAGGAACACAAATAGAAAAAAAATATAATAAAAATGCAATTATTATTATTAATATGTGGCTTTTTTATAATTATTATTATTTGCCTTGTATCACATTCTGTAACACACCTACTTCCACTTCCATTCGAGCTCCATTTAAGTTTTGGTCTTGCAAAAATGTCTACTGATTTATGATTCACAGCCTGTGAAATGACTGTTTGAGGGAACTCCATGTTCCTTGAAGCCCTATCTAGATGTTTGTAATGTTCTCTGACTGATTCATCTGAAAGTCAGTGTCACCTTGCACATGGGCAGACAATAGACCAGTGCCTGTCTAAGGACATGAAAGAGGCTCCATAAATTCCCAAGTAAGCAGATTTCAATAGAAGGAATCAATAACCTAAAATATTGAAGGAAATAAATGAGAAATTTTGCAACTAGGGTAATTAATAGAAACTATACAAACTAGAATTTACAGTTATACTTGAATTTACAGCTAGCGTGCAGTGGAGAATGTAAATATTCAAGTATGTGTGTATAAATAATTATTTTTTTTGTGTCAGAAATGTGATGCCATATATTGTTACTGATAATTATGTAACAAATTACTGTAACATAAAAAAAAATGTCTTAAAAGAGTGTAATGCATCCCAGAAAGAAAGAAAATATGACAAAATGCGTACTCTCCATGTCTGAAACTCAAAGCCTGAGTGCTATTACACAATAATAAACTTCAGCTTTTAGTGTACAGGTAAGAGGACCATCTATTTGACAATACTGTCCCTCACAAAGAAAAACAAAGTAATTTAACATTGTGTTCCACTGAGTAACCAGTAATCTTCATTCTAATGTGCGTCAGAGCAAAACACTGTAGAAGTGTACACTGTAGATGAACCTTCAGTCTGTGATTCAAAAGATACTTCTGTGTCCTGTGTGATGCATTGTTGAACAGCACAACATGTTCCTTCGAGAATGAGGAATTACAGAGCCGAATCTGGAGTGCTATTGTATTATTTTATTAATAAATAACAGATATTATTGAGGGAATAAAAGGAAAAGTTAGCATATAAGCAGAGATGAAGGTTACACTTCCTGTCTCTCCATTGCAAGGATAAAGCAGGACTGCCATGGATACTCTGTAAGGTTTCATAAGACATCAGCTTTAATTTATTTGAAATTACGCAGTTTATGCCTCCCTCATATTTCGAAGTACACAAAGAAGTGTCAGAGGAAACGATTTGCAAAGATAACATCACAAGAGCCAAAACAGTTTCCTTATGTTTCTCAGAGATGGAAACATGACATGAATCTATTAGGTGCAGTGGCACCAGCACAAATGAAAGAAAAACTGATGATGAGAGGTGCCGTGTACATAACAGGACCTTATTGATTGAGAAGCTCTGAGCTGTTTTTGTCTATTGGAAATTTAGTTTAGCATGATTTGGCAGACATGCTCTTGAACACTATTATGATTGGAGTGCTTAAAGTTTAATAAAAGGAAGAAAGATTAGCATTGACGCTGACAAGGACAAAATGAGCTGATATTTAGTAACCTTTTTCCAAAAATGTACGCAAAGGCCCTTGTTTGGATGGTTACGTTTATGTTACCAGTGGCTTTGGGCGAAGTCCAAGATATAAAAAAAATAGCATCTTTAAGAAGTGATCAGAATGAACCAAGCTTATTCATAGCTACACTGTGTTTATCTGTGCGCCGTAATGGATCATAAAGAGAAGGTTAAGGGAAAGAGAAAAATTACTCATACAGTGCGTTTAAATAAGCAGATGAACTGCTTAACAGTGAAACTACATGGGATTAAGCCTGCTACAAAAAACATTCACAAATCATACCTTTTTCCATACATGACCATAATTAAAATCATTGACCATTTAGACATTTTGAAAATGTCTCATCTCTAAATCCAACTGCTTTCTTAAACCAAATGGATGGCTCAAAGTTTAACAAAGTAATTTCCCACTCGATCTATCTGAATGACCCTACAGGGCCAGAGCTGCATATGAACTGGCACATCTTCACAAAGACACTCTGAGGAACGAAATGTGTCATCATCCAGTAATTACACATATAAAATTTCCAATATGACACATAATACCAGCCATAGTCACTTTTTTTTCTTTTTGTACCTGTAGGCCTACCTACTAATGGAAAGAAACTGTTATTATCGATTTAAGTGAAAATAAACTTTATAAATCAAAGAAGGTATGAAAGCACAATAAATCTCCGGGGATGAAATGGCTATTTAGAATCACAACAGTTATGATATACGTATAGTTAAAGCCTTCATTTTTTCAATTTCTCAAAGGTAAGCTTTTAAGCAGACTTTTCTCGCAATGTAATGGAAGTAGCAACAGTTCTTTTCTTTGAAATTGTGACACTTAAACAGAGCACAGAAAAAAAAATCTAGACTTGATTCTATCCATTGATTGGATGGAGGCGGATATGAATGTGTTAAGTATTACGAATCAAGTGTATGTAAACTTTCTAACTTCATGTGTGTAAAATCAGTTATTATATGTCAACTTCTGTTTAAGGCAACACTAAAAACAAAATATCATTTTTTAAATCCTTATGACAAACGTATGACTACAACTGACCGTTGCTAGCATAGTGGCTAACATTGGCAGCTAACATTGGTCTGTAATTATTTTAGACCAAATTATGCTGTTGTCCACTTCAGTCTTTAGTTCACTTACTAGTAATAGTTCTGAAATTAGATATATTCAAGAAACTGTAAGCTGGAAAGGAAATAGGTGTGCTAAATTTATCATCTCTAGTCAGGAGAAGCATTAGAAGGATTTGATGCTGCCAGCAACCTTACTGTGAAACTGCTGCATAGTAAAAAAATAAATAAAAAATCAGTTGTGCAACCAATAACTGACTAAAATATTTAGATAAATGAACCATCTTTCTAAACAGCATTTTATATGAATAGAAAACTAATCCTAAAATCATGGCATTGTTAATAATCGCCCATCATCTTTGCGACAGGCTTGTGGGCACGAATCAAGCAATATCTTTTCTTTTAGATATGTGAAAATGGGAAAACACAGCATGAAAGGACCCTGGCAAGATCAAACATGTATTTTGATGGAGGAAAATAACATTGGGTCACATAAGAGGTGCAACTTCAGCTTTGCTCATGTTCCATTTCAGTCTATTACTAGCCTGTAATACGTGCACATTCTGCTCCCAAACTGTATGAACATGAACAAGGTTTCAACCCAGTATATACTTATAAACATTGCCAAACTAACTTTACATCCCTGACATTTTGCATACAGTATGTCTGGCTTAAATGAAAATGTCAGTGGCTTCTATACTGGAGATATATGGACAGTAACATGTAGAGTTAATGGTTCCAGGCATCAGTGGCGGCTCGTGGGTTTTAAAATAGAGGAGGCACACTAATTGTATTGGTCTGGGCAGGCATACCTGGGTTAATGGTGTTGTGCTTCCTGTGTGTACAGTTTGCTAAATGGACATCCTTTGAGTTAGCAAATAATGTTGGTTGCTAACGAAAGTGCTTTTCATTTGATACAGAATATGCCTTGTGGGAAGATGATGGAAAATAGGCACTGAAATATAGTGACAAACAAAAAGTAATTGATATGCTTGACAAGCTTGAATTGACTTCCACTGAAATGTCATTTATCAGTAAAACTCTGCATATAAAAAAGGCAAAATGGGCTGTCAGGAATTGAGAAATATTTGACATCCTGATTAAACTTTTTTAAACAAAATTTTCTTCATTATTTAGTTTCTTGCAGCATATCCTAAATCTCTTACATTGCTCAGGAAATTAAAAGACAAAAAATCAGCCTCGTCAGGACTAGAGAAGTAATTATCATGTCATAGAAATCAATTCAAGCCTGATAAATGTTGTGGAGAAATAATTACTTCTCAGTTCAAGCTGCCCTTGTAGCATTATTGATGGTGTTGTTAGATCAGCTCATTAGATATGTCTTTTACTATTCATCTTCCAATTACATGTGTGGTGCTTGTTGACTTCAAAGTGACTGGTTATGGTGTACCACCATCAGAGACGTTCAGGAAGAAGACAAAACAGAGGCAGAGATTACAAATGGCTTTTAATGAGTCTGGTAGCGCAGACAAAGATCAGATGTGATCCCTTTAGAACTGAAAATGCTCAAGCCTCTAACCAATATCTAGTATTTCAAATACAAACTGATCAATGAAGAGTGATTTAGAACACTATGAGGTGACTAAGCATGTTCTTTGATGCAGAAAATAAAGACTGTGTAAACTGTCTTTTGTGCTGCTTGTCCTTCTTGCTGAATTATCTTGAATCACAGTGCTTACAAAAAAAAATTTTTTTTTTAATCTTCATTTGCATATCATCAGATTTCCCTTGCAGTCCTGGCTTTTTCCTGTATTAAACATTTTAATAGTGGAGCCTGTTTAGAACCCAACTACCTCATCAAACTATAATTACAAAAAGTAGAAACACAAAAGCAGCAAATCTCCTGTATTTCGAATATGGCTAATGAGTTTCTTAAGGATATTTGTTCCCTGACAAATGCAATTCCATTTTTTTCAAGCATAACTGTCATATACTAGGTAAATTAAAAATGTGCCACAAAAGAGTGTCCTTGTCTTGTCCAGATGTGGCACCACTGTTCTTGATCGAGCTTGATCAGCCTCTTACTTTTTTGGATGCTGTTTAAAAAAAAAACAGGTTGTACAGCATTAGATTAATCAAAAATTGAACAGAAAAAAAACTTATTGGTTTTAATATAACAAATGAATATTTGGTTGAATAAGATTTATATAGGTATGCAATATAAATATGAAAAACACTATACACACACACTAATGGTTAAAAATTTGGGGTCAGTAAGTTTTTTTGTTGGTTTTTTTTTTAAGTTGTCTCACCAAGGATGCATTTACTTGACCAAAAATACAGTAAATTAATAATAGTGATATTTCATTCCATTAAAATCAACCATTTAAAATATATATATTTTTCTACTTTAATGATTTTTTTGTGTGATGGCAAAAAAAATTCGGCAAAAAAAATTCAGCAGCCATTACTCCAGTTTTTAGAGTCACGAGATCCTTCAGATCATTCTAATATGCTGATTTTGTGCTTAAGAAACATTTATTATAATCAATGCTGAAAACAGTTATGCAGCTTAATATTTTTGTGGAAACCATGATGCATATTTTTCAGGATTCTTTGAAATAGAAAGTTCAAAAATATTATGTAACAACGTAAAAGTCCTTTATATCATTTTTAATCAATTTAATGCAGCCAAAAATATCAATTTATTTATAAACATAAGCATTTTACATAAAACACAAATGTTTCCATACAATAGTGTTTCCAAACTTCTGAAGATACAGACGATAGACAGAACAATAGATAAAACAAACAATAGAGCAAAAGATAGATCAAACAAATGAAGAACAGATTGAATGAACAAGTAATAGATAGAATGAAAGATAGAACGACAGGTAGATAGAATGACAGATCAAAGAAACGAAAGACAGATAGAACAAACAAATGACAGATAGAACAAACAATAGAAAAAAGATAGAACGAATGACAGAACAAACTAACAATAGATTGAATTAACGAATCTCAGATCGAATGAACAATAGATAGATTGAATAATAGAACAAAAGATAGACAGAATAAACGATAGATGGAATGACAGAATGAACAATAGAACAATGAATGAACGATAGAATAAGCGATAGAACAAACAATTAACAAACGATAGATAGATCAAACAATAGACAGAAAACAACAGACAAAATTAACAATAGACAAAACGAACAACAGACAGAATGAACGACAGCCAGAAAGACTGATAGATAGAACAAACATTAGACAGAATGAACGATAAAGCAACAGACAGATTCCCATTAACACAAGGTGTGTTATTTATTTTTTGAGCATACACAAATGATACTTGATGAATCAAAAATAATGATTGAGAAATCAAGAGGAAAAACTTGAAAACATCTCTTCAAATTGAACCAAACGATCTTCCATGTCACAGATATATATATATATATATATACACACATACTGTATATCATATCATATCATTTTTACCACCATAAGGTTTGTCCTCAGTTCACTAGCTAGCGCCCCACAGTCTCTGCCAACTGGCCGAAACAGCACCGAGCCACAGAGGCAGTAATTTGAGGCTCACCACAGAGAGTGGTTCAATAAATGCTGTTAAAATTAGCATATTCAGCCATTTATTTTTTAAATGACAGCTCTTAACCTCACAAAAGTGCAGATAATTAACCTACAGTTTTCAGAAAGAATGGAGGAGACTGAAGATCTATAACTCTCAAAGGAAAACTGCGTGCCAGGACCTAATGGAATTTACCCCCTCAGAACATATGTCATTAAATTAAAACACACCGCAAATCACAAAAGCTCTTATTGTAATGATCTCAGAGGGGTATTGGATATCAATTGGATACAAGTCATGATTTCATTTCCATTCTCTTCAGATGAGCAGCAAAGCATGACATATAATATAATATAAAGGGACATATAATATAAAGGGATCAGATATGGAACTAGGGCTGGCATTGAATTGCTGACAGAGGAAAAGGGCTCTCACCTCTGAGACACGATCACTAGACCTTCACAATAATGGGGTGCATGGTGTACCGATGTACAAATCTTATCAAACTACACTGCCGCACCTTTGCTTTCTAATAAGCATCTGCTCACACGTCTGCACCGCAGCAATACCACGCTCAAAGACTCCAATAGAGCGAACAGGCTTCCCGAGAGACCGCACAGCCCACAAACCCCTAGCTTCCTCCTCACAAACACGTTTCTATGGGAATAATTCTCAGACTCTGGCCTGAGCTGATTTGTCTTTATTTCCTAGAACCTTATTTTGCAGTGCACTTTAGAGAGAGGGGAAATGGCCTGCGCTCTCAGAGATGGCTCGCTGAACTTTATGGCCGAAATGATCTCGGTGTTGTCACAAGCTTAAAAAAAAGCCATATTTCAGAGAATAAAATAAATTTACACAAGGATGCACCATTAAATGCATGAAAGCACCGTTGGTCCTAAAATGAGGCTCTACAAATAGAAATGCACATGATTACGTATAATGTCTTTAGCATGGAGATAATAACATCAGTGTCATGTACACATAATGCACTGGCCATCTGTAGATCTACTTGGGGCTGGTGACACAATATTGTTATATTTACAAACTTCATTCATATTTGTTATGATTCTTTAATGCATAGAACGTTCAAAAGAACAGTATTTATTAGAAATAAAAACCTTTGTAATATTTGAGCAAATGAATGCTTCCTTGCTGAATAAAAGTAAAAATGTCACTGAATGTATGTGTGTGTATTTATTCATTTATTTTCAGGTAAGATGTTTTCTGGAATACTCACTGCAGCAGCGAGGGCTTGGTCTAGGTCTGCAATAATATCTTCCTCATCCTCCAGACCCACAGACAAACGAACGAGCATATCACTGATGCCCAACTCTTTCCTCTCATCCTCAGACACTGAAGCATGAGTCATACTTGCTCTGGAAACGAAAAAAAACGCACCGTGAGAAATGGAGGTGGATGAAATGTTCCCTCAAAAAAGGGTTTTGATTGATTTTGATTTGATTTTCAAGGATAAATCATGGTACCACTGGACAATGTATGATATCAAGAATACTTAGGGAGAGATTCAGATGTTATCACTGCCATTTTAGTGAATTACTCGTGAACCATAAATCTGTCACAATGTTTCAAAAGCCATCTGGTGATTAACCTTAACTTCGTTTTTATAGTGAAGGCTGTCTACTATAGCCTAAAGAAATTTTCCTTTATTAGTTCCTGCTAAATAATGTTCTACAATGAGGCAAACTGTTCAGACAACAAAAGTGTTGTTTCTGCAATTTTTTTTACAACAACATTAAAGCTCTCACGCCCCCTTGTGGCAATCCAAAATAAGCCTCTCAGACTTTTTAAGATTTTTAGGGCTCACACATACACGCACACTTATTACAACCACAAATTAAAAAGTGAAAATGAATTTTTTTTTTTCTGTATGCTCTGGATTTAAATCAGATTTTCCCTCAGAACAGTCAGTGGATTTGAATAGTAGTGTGCTCAGTACTTACGGGTGCTCTGCTAGACTCTCATAACCACCAAGACTTTCAGCAAGTGCAAACAACTGAAACGCAAAACACAATATAGTTTCTTCAAAAATGTAAGATGTAAAAGACTTTCAAACAACATGAAGCTTCAAAACACCTTTAGATTGCTGAGAAAAGTTGAGGCGTGCTCCAGTTTTCCTTTGATGTAGAAAGTGATCATCCCAGGACAGCCTGTGCACTGTCTCTTTGTCAGCTCATGCTGAGGGTGGGATGGAAGACCTGAAGGAAAAGGGGTGATCATGAGTCAATCAAGTCTGACTGGAATATTTAATTAATTTTGAACAACACAGTTCAAGGCTGCCCATAGGTGGTATTATACAAATGAAGCACCTACAGTCCTAAACAAAAGTTTGGGATAAGTAAGAATTTTTCTTTTAAATAGATTTTTTTTTTTTTATTTAACTTTTATTCAGCAAGGACACTTTAGCCTAATCAAAAGTGACAGTAAATAATTTTACATTGTCAGAAAAAATGCATTTCTAAAACTTTAAAGAAATATTACCAACCCTAAACTTGTTCGGTACTATATATAAATTCACAAAATCACACCAATACAGTATTATTATCGAATTTGTATATTCAGATGGGTTATTTGAGAATTTACCTAAATGTCAAAATCACCCAACATACACTTCTATATGAAGTGACAATAATATCATAGACACCTGGGAAGATGACTCTGTCCACTCTTGGATCGGCCTCCAGAAACTGTGCCGCGGCCATTGCGTTCTTAAAGTGCTGCTTCATTCTCAGGTGGAGAGTCTTCAGACCCCGATTGCACATATAACAGTCAAATGGAGAAGGCACAGCCCCAAGACCTGAAGTAAATGGGGAGGAAGAGAGATTAAATCAAACATTACAAGTTCTACTTCTGCTATGCAGTTGACTCATTTTTATTGTTACAGTCAAGGATAAATCTGCAATGTGTTGCAATAAGAATCTAACAGAAAGCACAAGGTTTAATCATCACATCAGGACTGCAACAATGTGACAGGTGGGAGGTATGGGATGAAGTTGATAAAATTATAACTTGCACAAATTACACGAACAGCGATTACACCATTTCAATAAAGATCACATTAAAGGGGTCATATGATGTTGCTAAAAAGAACATTATTTTGTGTATTTAGTGTAATGGAATGTGTTTATGCGGTTTAAAGTTAAAAAAACACATTATTTTCCACATACTGTACATTATTGTTTCTCCTCTATGCCCCGCCTTTTTGAAACGCGTCGATTTTTACAAAGCTC